ACAGGCACACATTCATGTCCAGAAGGATCATGCTCTCCTTCACGCTGCGTGTTTATCCACTGGGTGAGTGGCAAAAATCCCTTATTAAGCTGATATTTTAGCTTAAAAGTGCTGAGATTTTAGCAAACCTTGAGCAAAAAGTGCTAAGACGAAGTATGAAAACGGAATCGATAAGGATATCCAATTTCCTGCTGTTTTCTGGACCCAGGGACTTGCAAGACGTTCGAATTAATTGATCAAAACACGATTCCTCGATATTTTTCCCAGTTTTTTATGGGTCTCAGTCTTATAAAGAACAATAAACACCTGAAAATATTTATTTATTTCCTCTAAATGCTTTTAAACACAAGAATCTTTATGGTGAAAACACAGCATTTTGCTCATACCATCTCGGTTCGGTCCCGTCAGATTCCCTTCAGAATTTTGGTCTGCAGATCAACTTTTGGCGCCTTCACACAATCCGATTTTCTCCACAATGATGGCTCATTATGGACGAAATCAATTAATTTTTGAGTTTTTTCCACACTTAAATTCATTTCATTGACGATTTCCTCGATTTTCCGTATGAAATTTGTCTATTTTGACCATTTTGACAGCAAGCGCATTGTCAGACACGTCAAACTCAAATTCAGCGCGGGTTGCCCAACGTAAAATCTGCAGGCACACACTTGATATAAAAATGTTGTGAGCAGGAAGGAAAATACACGATTCGTGTGGGGAAGAAAGAGATGAACTAAAACAATTGTCCAATGACAAAAGCTACGTTTTCACCATTAATTTCTCAGCGCAAATTGTATTGATTTAATTGTATCGGTTCTCATACAAAAATGGCTTCTTGCAATTTTCTGGCAAGGTTTTGCATGATGCGACATCTATGTATTTAAGTACGCATCAGAACTTTGACTGGTCACCGCTAATATCGCTAGTTTTCTTACTAAATTTGCTCAGAATTAAGCAGAACAACGCTAAAACCTTAGCAGTTTTAATCTCAATTTTGAGATCTTAGAATTTTGTAAATTTTTATGTTTTCAACCCCTAATTTCCAGTGATCCTCTTCGAAGATGCAATAATTCTGGGCGTGGAGAATGACACAGTTCTGTACACGAGCGACTCTAGTCTTCACTTTTCCCTCCCATTTTGCGTACTTGAGAGAACGGTAATGATCCATAGCTGAGCACTGTTTTAATCTGATTTGTATTCACAAATGTGTCTTGTGCTTCTTGACTTTCCTTTTTTCTCCAGAGTCAAGTATATTTGCATCAGATACTCCGCCAATTGATTCGACGCAATCTCGGCTACAATGCCTGGGAGATTGCCCGCAGTTGTACAAATTTGCCATATTTTCCGCATTCTCTGGAACTACTCTTGCACGAAGTGAGTTGATGATTATCTATTGTGCAAATGGATGGAAAATTGACTGGGGAATTGAGTGTGCATTTATCATGCCTTAATTGCAGGTTCTCGAGGAGGAGGCCACGAGCAAGGAGCCCATTCCTGACGCCCTGCTGCCCAGTGTGTTGGAGTTCATACAAGAGTTTCCCGTCTATTTGCAGGTAAAGAAAATTTGGCGGGGGCTCATAAATATGAGATGCATTACGATTTTGGTAAATTATAGGCCTTCATACATTTTTAATGACGCTTGAAGGATTGCCAAAAGTTGTAATTTTCACACGAATAATTCGAGGCTATATTTTGATGGATTGTCCCAAAAATGGGCGCAAATTGGTGTGATTTTCTCAACCACAAATTGCACTTCTCTGTTTCCAGACTGTTGTTCAGTGTGCTCGCAAGACGGAAATTGCCCTCTGGCCGTATCTCTTTGCCACTGCTGGAAAGCCAAAAGATCTCTTTCAACAGTGTCTGGCATCGAAGCAACTCGAGACGGCGGCCAGTTATCTCATCATCCTGCAAGTGAGTCCCTTTTTGGCGCTTCACTGACTGCCAAATTGACCCATTTCATGGCCGTTTTGCTATTATTTGCGATATATTTCAACAAAATTACCACTCTTGTTCATTGAATTCACATTTTTTTTCTTTCTTTACGTAAAACCATAACGAAATGGTTGCAATGAATTTAATGATCTTCAAATTATTGTGTGTGTTTGTGTGTAAATCGTGGAGATCTACTTTTCTTGTTAATGCATCGTGCGCATGACCTTCAAGAAGAGAAGATATTTTTTTTTATGTAACCTTCATTGCCAATTATTTAATGTGAAATTTTATGAGTTATAATTTTTGAGTTATGCGTCAGGAAATGTGGTTGTTTTTTTGGCTCTTGTGTGGCTATTAATTTCGTAAAAATGTTAAAACTCTCGCATAATCTCAATAAGTGCGTAATTTATTTGTTTTTTAAAAGTGATTGCAAAAAATCCTCTCAAAATTTTCGATGCTTGTTTTGCAGCATTTGCAGTTTTGTGAATGATTATTTCATAAGATGGTCATAAATATTTCGCTTGGTTGAAAGTAGTAAAACTGTTTGTTGCAGAATTTAGAGCCGTCATCAATTAGTCGGCAATACGCGACTTTGCTGCTGGACACGGCCTTGGAGCAGAGTAAGTGGGAGTTGGCGCGAGATCTGGTGCGCTTCCTGCGAGCAATTGGTGAGTTTGCAGCCCAAAGAATGCGAAAAACACAGTCTTTGATGTGTTTTCTTCATCTCTGCAGATCCAAATGATGTGGAATCGCCGCGAACGTCATTCGTGATGGGCCAGAAGTTGGGCCTCAGCTCACCGACGACTCCCGTGAGTCCCAATGCGGAGGATTTGAGCCTGATTATGGGCTCAATGGCGCGCGGTCGAAGCTTCTCCACCACGATGAATCCCAAACAGCAGCCCGGAGAGCCGAATCTGAACACATCGCCGAACAGTACAAAGGAGAAGACGCCGCCGTCTTCGGTGACGGTGCAGAAGAGGAAGAAAAGCATGCCGCACACGCAGAAGGAGAAGGACTCGTCCACGGCGGAGGACTTCTTCATCGACGTGATCCTGCAGCGGCACGCCAGGCGATTGCTGCAGGAGCGGAAGCTGGAGGAGTTGGGCTACATGAGTGCTGCGCTGGACTTCCACTTGGTGGGCTGGTTGTCGCGTGAGAAGGACAGAGCGGCGCGCATTGAGGACTTCGTGGCGGCGCTGAAGCAACTACACGAGGATCTGGAGTGGCCAAAGCCGAGTCTGGAGTTGAAACTCAATCCCGATGCTGACAAGTCCAATCAGACGCAAGAGAGTCCGAGTTACTCGCTGCAATCGCTCAAGATTGAGACGAATTTGGGTGCTAGCGATTCGGGATACACAAGTCTTCCTGGCCAGCAGACGTCTCTGGAGATGCCCATGTCGTGCGATGAGGGACATCTGAAGGTGCATCGTCGCGACAGTGGCTCGAAGTTGCTCCTGAAGACCGCCACTGTGAGTGTGGAGGCGAAGCCGAGCGCCAGCAACAATAACGTCGAAGGGCGGAAGCCCAAATTGCCCAGCATTTCCGAGGCTGAGGCGAAATTAGTGCCAATGATGGAGAATATGAGCGTCACGTCGGAGCAGGTGTCGTTCTGGGGCGACGAGAACTCCAATGCCTTCACGCCGGACATCGAGCATCAGGCCTTTGCGAATCCACAGCTGCCCAGTGTTGAGGAGGAGCCAAAGCTCAAGACTGTGTCACACAAGCTGGAGGTGAAGATGCGGTATTTGCTGCAGATCTTCACTGAGGCGGGATGTCTGGAGTTTTCTCTCCTGCTGTCGATTCTGTTGCTGGACGCAGCATCGATTTGTCGCATCACAAATGCCGCCGTCCGGACGGGATCTCTGCAGCTCTGTCGACAGCTGCGCAACGGCCTGAAGGACATCATGCGATGGAGCTTCCAAGAGTGGTGAGAGATCATTTGCTTCTTCCAGTGATTTCCTAAGCTGACTTTGCTTCCTCTTTCAGTCTGGGCTACAGATCTTTCGCCATCACGCTTCAGCCGCAAATCTATCAACTGGACAAGTTTGTGCTGCAGAAGGAATCCATTCCGCCACTGCAGTTCGTCTCCTACAGTCCAACACAGAGCTTCCCAATGACTCAAATTCCCAGTTCTGACAAAGTCGATCCGGCAACAAAGAATGTGAGCATTTGAAGGGTGATTTTGTGAGGATTTCAGTCTGACTTTCGGTGTTTTTGCAGACTCAATCGTCAATTAAAGTGGATCACCAGACGTTCGATCACATGCTGGTGAAGAGCAACAGCGTGGACAGAAGCACAGCGGCGCAGACTGAGTCAATTAGCAGCGATCGTGAGGAATCCACTCAATCCAATCCAGCCAATTCTTCTGTGTTATCTTTCAACGATTTGCCAAAGCCTGAGAGTACTGGTTGTGTCCTAATGTAAATACAAAAATGCAGGAAATTGTGCATAATGTTTAGCAAAAAGTTCTCATTTATATCCTTTCTGTGTGCAATTTTGAGCAATATGTCATTCAATTGAATCCGTTTCTATGTTTAAGCTTCTCAGGAAATTGTGTTGAAGAGAAAAAAAAAATTAATGGAAAATTGTGTCTGTTTTCCTGATCAATCGAAAATATTTTTGCGAAAGATTTTTAAATAATGTGCGGAAGACTTTTTTCGAGCGATTTTCAGTGAAACAGTTTCCGTCCTTTTGCAGAAGAGAAAGAGAACGAAGAGAGAGAGCAAAGTAGCCAAATGATGATTGATTCCCTTGTTTAAATGTTGTCCTGACTGTGGCAGAAATACGTTGAGATTCAATAATGTAGCAATTTTGTGAGAGAACTTACAGAAGACATTCTTTGATAGGTTGGCAGAGAGAGAGTTGCGTTTTAGATGGAAATGAATTTGTTATCTACAATTAATTGGTTAGTGTTGACTTTGTAGAAGCGATAGCGAAGTGAATAATAAGATTTAACAAAGTTTTGTAGAGTAGAACTCTTATTTAAATATAATATTTGCAGAATGAGAAGAGAGAAATTTGGATAATTGCATAATTTATAGGAGATTTCTATAGAGAAAAAACATTGGTAATTTCATATTGACTAACATTCTTTGTTGTCTACATTGTAAATATCAAAATCTCAAGGTAAAATTCTATCCCTTCTCTTAAATAACAATACAAATTTGACTCACAGACATGATCTTTTCTTTTTCTTTGACTCGCGGTGTGAATTTGTGCATTTGCTGGACGAGGATTTTATGTACAGAAGCAGGACGCGGAATGCTTGAAGTTAAGCGGATCGCAATTTCGCCAGTTGGGCTTCAATATCGCGCTCAGTCGTTGCTCTGGAGGATTCGCCAATGGTGCCTGAGATTGCCGATGGAGCCTCTGACATCTTGCCGGACATTTCGATGCCAATCTCATCCAGAACCTTGTTGACAATCTGATCGGATTCCTCTTCGTCTCCAGATTCCGCCAAAATATCGTCCATCGTGTCGTTAACTGCAAAAAAGAAGACTTTCAGCACCAAAGAATCCGGACAATCTCTGCGCCATCAACTCACTCATCTCGTCCGTCATCTCCATCTTCATGTTCGCCTGCTGGAAGGCCCTCATGTCGCCGGCCAGCTTCTCCGGACGCATCACCTTGTTCATGTCGCCCATCGTCTTGGCCGTGGTCGCCATGGCGCCGGACAGAGCGATATTCGCGCCGATTGTCTTGTTCTGGAAGCCGACGCTGGTGATCTTGCTGTTGGCAGCGTACGTGCGATTCTTCTGCTTCCGCAGCTGGATGAGTTGCTTGGCCAGCAGAGTGCAGGCTTCCTTATTCCCCGCCTGAGCATTCTTCTTGATCTCCATCTCCAGCTTCTTCTCCTCCATTTCCAGCTTCTTTCTCTCCCGCTCAATGTCTCTCCCGGCCTTCCTCAGCGCCCTGTCATTCTCGCGCTGTTGCTCTGCAAGACAGATTTTTCACACGCAGAGATTCAAGATCAACCAATGACTCAAAACATGACTCATCTTCAGGAAAGAGATTTATTACCACCATGAAAAACGTGAAAAACTCACCTTTTACCGTTGGTTTCTTGCCAAATAAATTGTTGAACATTGTGAATGAACAGACAAGGCACTATTTTGTCGTACAAAAGTGTAAAATGAAGGATTTCTCAGGAAGATTCCTTCTAATCTTTAGTAAACAAACTTCAACAAACTCCCATTCGCTTCAGCAATTTTGACGGAAAAATGACAATTTCTCATAACCTCACTTTGGAGTGTCCCAAATCCACCCAAATTGTCCCACAATAGAGTTGTTGACCCCCCGCAGTTGATTCATTCATTCTGCGCTCCAGAAAATCACTGAAATCTACTTAAGATACAGTAATTAGCACGCTTTTTCTATCACAGAACGCACAGTCAAGATGCCGGTGAGTGAAACACAGTGAATTTGGCTGGATAAACTGAAAATTTCCCGGTGAATTTCACCTTGTTTGCGAGGGTGTGTCAATGGAGGCTCTCTTATCTCTCTCTCAGGCTTACCACTCACAATTGCGCGACTACTCCCAGTCCCTGGGCAACATGGCCCTGTTGCCACTGAGGACGCAACACAGGGGCCCCGCGCCGGGCACCAACAGTGAGCAGGACATCATTGATGAGGCGCTGTACTACTTCAAAGCCAACATCTTCTTCCGGACGTTCGAGATCAAGTCAGAGGTGGACCGGGTGTTGATCTACGTGACTCTCTACATCACGGAGTGCCTGAAGAAGCTGCAGAGGTGCTCGAACAAGAACCAGGGCCACCAGGAGATGTACTCGCTGGCCATTTCGAAGTTTGACATTCCGGGTGAGGCGGGCTTCCCGCTGAATTCCGTGTACGCGCGTCCGGCGACGAGCCAGGAGGCGGATCTGATGCGCCAGTACTTCCTCCAAATCCGCCAAGAGACTGGGCATCGCGTGTGCGAGAAGGTGTTCTGCGGGGACGACGGAAAGCCAAGTAAGTGGTGGTTGTGCTTCGCCAAGAAGAAATTCATGGACAAATCCCTGTCTGGTCCTGGCCAGTAGACACCACCACGGCCGAGGATGAGTTGCAAAGAGCATTTCAGTATGATATATATGATTTTATTGTCCTATAAGAGTTTTGCAATATACAGTGAATATAAATGTAAAGTAACAAAGTCGCAAGGCTTTTTTCCCTTGAATTTACACCTGAGTATCGACAGAAAGACAGTCACTCTGTCCGCCTCGAGAGTTACTCCCAGCTTTGGCTACCGCGTCATGAAGGAGCGGATCCAGCTCGTGAACTTGGCCGCGTCCGTGAACACCACGTACTCGCGCAGATCACACACGCCCGTCACGGGATGCTTGATGGCAATCGAGATCACGCCGCGCAACTGCCATCGGCCGTTCTCGTACATGATCAGGCCGCCGCCCGAGTCTCCCGTGCACGGCCCATTCACACCGTCCCGCCAGCCGCCGCAAATGGTGCGCGCCGACGTGAGTGTGGCGAAATCGTCGCGTGAGTTGATGCACTCCTGCGTGGACACAAGCGGGATTTGCGTCCTCTTGGGCAGGTACGTCACGAGGTTGCCCTTCTCGTCGCGTCCCCAGCCCACCACCACGCCCGTCTTCCCCACGAAGTGCTCCTCGCCCGTGGGCAGACTCCAGAGGCACACGGGCCGGATGTAGGCGCTGTACTCCACGCTCTCCTTCAGCACCAGCACGGCGATGTCGGCGTCGAAGGAGCCTCGCGGATCGCTCAGGAACTCCGGGTGGATATTCAGGTCCTGCACCTCGGAAATTGTGGCTCCTGCAGAGGAGAAAATCAATGTCAGAGAGGCTAAAATTTATTCAAATGCTTGTTTAATCTTCATCTCATAACGCTTGTCTTCATAACAACACCTTCACGAAGTGTTTTAACACTTGACTCGCTGCGATCGCTAAATTGATTATTTCGTCGAGGATTGGAGCAAGAAAATAGTGAAAGATGTTATCGAGGCACAGAAAAAAGTCCATTTCTGTTTTTCCCCAACTAATTTCAAGAAGCGAAGAAGCATCGCTGGTATTCCAGTTCTGCGTGCTAATTGTGCTAAATTTAGAATAATCAGAATGTTGTGGAAACATTCGACGACATTTACTTCTCATCTGAATTGGCTACTAAATCATTAGCAGTCCAATCAATCAATCACTCGTCAAAGTTGCACAGAGAGATGAAAGATAAACCCAATCGTCATCGCGCATTGCAATCTGAATCACTTGATTTAGTGCAAACATTCCCAACTCACCGTCTTCTTTGAGTCTCCTCAGATCGTGCTTCCCCACGAAGACAATCACATCGGCCGCCTCGTAGTTTGTGCCGCGGCCATCCATGAAGCAATGAGCCGCGCTCACGATCACGTTGTGCGACACGAGAGTGCCGCCGCAGACGAAGGAGAATTGGGCGCCTTTGTACACGTGAATGGCCACGAGCCACGGCCAGGAGCCTTTGGGGAACTCCTCGCCGCCGAATATCAGGGGCGTGATGGTGAAGCGGCTCTCAATCTTGCCGCATACGCCGACGCCGTCGTCTCCATAGCGGTTGACGGGCGTGTGGGCGGGATTCGCGGCGGGCAGGAATGGATTTGACGGCCTCGATGGTCGCTGCGTCGGCGGCGGCGGCGGTGGAGCCTGCGTGTGGGGCTCCTGGTAGGGCGGATAGTAGGGCGCTTGTGTGGAAGTCTGACTCTGCTGAGGGATGAAATTGTTGCCGCCGTAGGGATTGTAGGCGTCGTTCTGGCCGAAGAACGGATTCGAGTAGTTCTGGTAGTCATTGTAGTAGTTGTCCTGCTGAGGATAAGAGCCACCGCCGCCGGGTCGGGCTGGATAGTCATCGTAAGGCTCGTTCGTGAGCCTCGTCGTGAGCGTGTGATCCAGGCGAATGTTGGTAACGTAAGAGCCTCTGTTGGGGAATCTTGAGCGATCTCCTTGGCAGATCACGTTGCCATTGTATGTGATCGACACGAGGCGCGGAACGGGATTTGAGATTGGAAACTTGACGCGATATCGCACCGGGAGGCTCTTCTTCAGGCGATCCAAAGCCACTTCTTGCGCGTCACGCAGCTCCAAAGCACCCACATAACTCTAGAGAGAAGAAAAGACACAATTTAGCCAATAATAAGTGACATCAGCGCTGTCGAAAATGCGCACTAAATTCACAATTTATTATATTTATTTCTTTGAGATGAACTTTAAGCATGAATGGGAAAATACGTCACTCGTCCGTGATTCTTTTACACTGACGAATGCACTCTTGAATTGGTGACAATCGCGGAAATTCTACGCGTGCAGTGATTCACGTCAGAAGAAAGAGCTGAAGGGAAGTTCCAACAGCTGAAGAAGCTGATGAATGAAAGCTTCTTGGTAAATACAGTGTTAATTCTTGAATGATCATGTCTTGATCATCTTGATACTTGAATTTTCTGCGAACTGTTCTAAAATTAGCCCATCTTCAGGATATGAATTGTGGCATCATTTTCATGTTCAACCGTCGCGCAAAATACAAGCAGAAAAAACGTGCCAAGCCTTCGCGGTGATTTTTTCTTCCACCCATAAACACAACACGATGTGAAAAGTTTTGCTTATTTTTTCGCCAATGATCGCGAAGCTGCCATCGTCGGTCAGATAAGATCACTTAATCGAAAAGCAAAGTGCAATTTTGCACGAGAAAACGCAGCGATGAAGAACTGTCTTCAAACACCAATTGCGGGAATCCCCAAGAGAAAACATGAGCTTTATTAGCACTTTCAAAGACGGCGTGTGAATGCCACAGACGCCGCTGTTGATTCTTCGCGGCTTCTCTCGAGTGCGTCACTGTATTGAGACTGTGACGGCGGGGGAAAAAAGCGTTTGGTGACGCTTTTGGCACGCTTCTGACGATCTCTGGGAGGGACACCAATCATTCCGGTATCGTTTTCGCGCCAACTGGTCGGCGCTGATGGTATTTTGGCAATAAATGCGTCTCTCTGCGCTTCTTTATGAACATATTTTGTCATAGAGAAGCGTGGGGCAGATGTGTATTACAAGCTATAAAAGGCGCGAAGACATTCAATATATGTGTTAATTTGCTCAGTTGATCACACTGCTGGATCTAGAGTGGCTCAAGTGAGAAAAGAGCGATCCTTCTCTCAAGGAAGCTAAAAATGTTGATTTAATAGCAACTGAGCAAGAAAAACCGCCAATTTTTGAGCAACTCAAGGAAATTTTAATGCTCTTTTAGGGCATAAAAGCTGGTCATTATGTCTTAATTCATGACTTTTCGTTTGGAACTCTTTTAACCCCACAATTAAGTAGAAAAATGACTTAAAAAATCTGTGCTCAGATTAATTTGCTCAGATCATCGCTAGAAATCTTATTGGAATAACTCGGTAACACAATGTGCTTTGAAGCACAATAAATTTTCACTGTTTTCTCTTTGATTGGGGCAATTGAAATTCCTTCCACTGGAGTTCTGGGAAAACCCCGCCAAAGTGTGGTGTTAAATTTCGGGGCTCAGTGGCCCCCGCGCTCCCCTATGCCTAGGAATCGCGTTCACAAAGTGGGGAAAAGAGAGAAGATGGAAAGATGGGAAACTGGTTCTGGGGAAAATGAGGAATGCCAGAGTGCGACAGAATCGAAAAGCTACCGATGGCAACTGCACAGGAACGGTGAGGAAGACGTGGAGCTCGAGTTTGGTGCCGATGGGCGGCGCGGGCACCTCCAGGGCGCCCTCAGCCTCGTATCCGTTGTGCTGATACTGGAAGAGATTCGGACAGGGTGAGCTGCCTTGAGTCCTGACCACGGGAAGCGCACAAATCACCACAAGGAAAATGTCCACTTGCACGCGAAGGCGTTTGAGTGATGTGATCATCTTGTCTCTAATGGAATTTAATTGATTGTGCTTTTGAATCACAGGGAATTTTTCGCTTCAGCCACAAAGTGTCTTCTCTTTCTATTCATAGTTTCTGTCACGGCACTGAATTGATGATTAATAACGAAACACGGGGAATATATTTTGCCACGGACTGATCCGCGATGCGTCGCACAGCCGGAAAATGGTGTCTCGAGCGGGCAGAAGTCCATGCGCAGCCGCCGGAGGTGCAGAAATCACTGATGAGAACTTGTCCAGTTGGTGCGTGACGAGTGTCTGGAAGTGGAGAAGGTGACAGTGGGGGAAATACTAATGACAATCTCCTCTTCTTCCAAGAGACACTCAAACATCGCCTGGTCGCATGCCACAACCACGATCACACCTCGGGCTTTATATACTTCTGTGCCTGTGGAAGCGATATTGCTTTGCTAATATGCGGCACATTTCGACATTGTCTGATAAAGTCTTTGAAAAAATATTAACACAAAGCCAATCGATAGTATTTGAGTGTATTTCCTGAGCTGAGAAGTTTCCTGACTGATTCTCGTATTGGCCTCAACTTTTGTGATCGGAAAGAAAAGCATCGCTGTGAAAATAGGTTGAGAGGAAGTGTAAATCATAAAAATCGTAAAACTGAATGAATAAATTTCTTCTAGGAGTCTTAAATCTTTGAGGGAAAATTTAAAATCATTTCTAAATAAGAAAATTTACCAGGAAATGAATGTAAAGGAGTTTCACATTTGCTTCTTTCTGGATTCAAGTTATCGACAGTGAATTTTCACTAAATTGTAGCATAATTTTAAGGGAAAAATAGTTAAATTCGACAGTCTGAAGACTAATTAAGTAATACTAATCCATGTTAGTCTTATTTTTCCCCTGAAAATGTATTAAAAACAAGTTAATTGCACGCAATTATTATCGATAAGACTCGGTAAGTGTCGATAACTTTAATCACTTCAACTTTAAGTATGATAATGCAGTAAAGAAGTATTGCAAATTCCTAAAAATCCAATTACAATTGTTCACTGTGTTTTGGTTAGTGAAATTCTTCAATGTTTCTTACAACTTCAGTTCATCTCACCGACTTTGTCATATTCCCGAATGCGTGCAGAAATCATTGAAGCTCACAAGCTGATCTGCATTGCTTCCACTCGTGTGTTTTTGCTTGGATAGCGCGGATTTTCTATGAAAACTTGTAGCACTTCTTTTTGCGATCATCGCAATATTTCTCAAATCAAATTTCCAACATTGCTTTTTGTCCCAAAACGGAATTGCTAAATTTGGCAGAAAATGATGGGGTTCGTCACCTAAGCGCGCGTTGAAGTCTTTCTCTCCGAAATTCCACTTCACACTCCGGGACATCAATTGAGGTTTTTGCAAACAGCGCGCGTCAATCGTGTCAAGAGAGATGATCCCAAAACACTCGCAGAGAGTTTAATACTTAATCAAAAAAAAATTTATTCCTTCTAAGAGATTGTCTTTGTATCGACGTGACTTGAGGATGGCCGCGGCCGCTATAAGAACGACCTGATCCAATCTGAGTATTTGGCCACATCCGTGAACACCACGTATTCCTTGAGATTGCACGAGCTGGTGAGCATGTCCGAGAGGGAGGCCGACACGATGCCGCGCAGCGTCCAGCGCCCGTTCACATCGAAGATCAGCCCTCCGCCGGAGTCGCCGTTGCACGGGCCCTCGGAGCCGTTCCGCCAGCCGCCGCAGAAGGTGCGGTCCGTGGTGATCTTGGAGAAGGCCTCGTTGCTGCGCAGGCACGTGGCGTCCGACACCACGGGCACCTCGGCCTTCTTGGGCTCCGGCGTGTTCACGTTGCCGTGCTCGTCGCGGCCCCAGCCCACCACCACGCCCACGCGCCCCACGATCGCGTCCTGCGTCTGTGGCCCGCTCCACAGGCACACGGGCCGGATGAACTGCGTGAACTCCACCTGGCGCGCGATCACCACCACCGAGATGTCCGAGTCGATCTTGTGGGCGCTCATGTACTGCGGATGGTTGTTGATGCTCTCCGGATAGACGATTTGCGAGCCTGCCGAGAGAGAGAAATTCTTCAGGTGAAATTTGCCATCTGTGCCATGTTTACACACAGAATTTACTGCTATTCTCTTTCGCTCACACACAAAAATTGCCCTCTTCTTGGGCCTATTTATAAGATCACCCCATGAGAATGTAATCAATATTATACCGGAAAAATGTCACATTAAATTGATTCTCATTATAAGCCATAGTTGGAAACCCCAGGAAATTTTTGCGATAGATTCTTTTTTTTTCTAGTTCACCTGGTGTTGAATATTAAGTCTCTCTATCTATACAGAGATTGATCCAAAGAGACTCGTTTTGTATGAATACATCAACATGATGATTACAACTTTAATGAAGTGCTGGCGAATTTCCCCAAAAATAACTTTGTTGGCCCTCTCGACTGTTGTGGAAAGTTCACATGCCGAACCGTTTTGTTTTTGCAAGCAAAACCCTTCAGCTTCAACTTCAATGGTAAAATTGACAAGCGACAATTCTCTACTGCTCCGATACTTAAGTGCCTTTGGAATTCCCCGCGATATCGGTCAACAAAACAGTGAATCACGCAACTTGAGAGAGTGTGTGCGTTTGTGTGGTAATTCTCTCACCTTCTTCCTGGGGCCTCTTGAGATTGTACTGCCCGAGGATGAGGACGACGTTCTCCGTCTTCAGCTTCTGGCCATTGCGGTCGGCGAAGCAGTGCGCCGCTCCAATGACCACTTTTTGGGAAATCAGCGTGGCACCGCACTGGAAGGCCAGCGTGTGCTCCTTGTACACGTGCACAGCCACGAGCCAGGGCCAGGTTCCTCGCTGGAGCGCCGTTCCGCCCACAATGAGCGGCGTGAACGTGGCCAGAGGATCTGGTTTCCCGCACACGACCGAAGAACTGCCACTGCGAAAGAATTTCATACAGTTTAAATAGGTTTCAACTCAGGAAAGCGCTTAGAAAAGGATAGAATAAACTGTGAGCCGAAATTAGCGAAAGTTGCTCTAATTTCCCACCTTTAAACCCGAAACACTAGAAAACCCATTTGCAAAGTGAAGTTGAAGTGCAGACATTAGCATTTGGGCATTTCCCAGTCGCGTGCCACTTCAGTTCATTCATCTTTTCGCGCTCTGGGCGGGCCTTTCGAGTGGGCGTGGCACTCACCTGTCTTTGTTATCAATGGACGACGGTGTGTTTTGAGGTCGTGGCCTCTGTGGAGGCTGTGTCGGTCGTGTGGGTCTTGGCTGTGGCTGAGGAATCGGCTGCGGCGCCTGTTGATGGTGATGGTGTTGCTGCTGCGGCGGCTGCTGCACTTCCGGTGAGGAGAATTGGGAATTGTCTCCGCCAAGCTGGAAAGGACCCAGCGAGACGTCTGAGAAGGGCAGCTGACTGCCCAATCCGAAGTCTAGACCGCCGAGATCTAGGCCCGCATTGATGCCCGCCTGGTTTTGGTTGTAGTTGGGCTGTTGGTTTTGGCTGTAGCTGGGACGAGTCTGGCTCAGGTGCACCGGTCCTCCTTGTGGCTTGAAGGTGTACTGCAGTCGGATCTTCGTCGTGAACTCGTACTGTGTGGCTGCGGGGGGAGAGAAGGCAGTCGGTTGAGAGGGGAACGGGGAGGCTGGACAGGGGATTTCTCACTGTATTCCGCTCGGCAGATCACATTCTCGTTCACCGTGATCGAGGACACCTCGGGCAAGGGATTCTGGATGGGGAAGCGCACCTCGAAGTTCAGCGGCTGGTTGCTGTATATCCGATTGGCGATCTCGCTGGGCTGGCCCAGGATCTTCACCTCGCCCACGTAGGAGGACGTGAGCTGCGTGCCCACGGACAGCGTGACGAACAGCATGATGTCCTCGCCGACGGGCGGGTTGGCGATTCTGCCGATGCCGATCCACTCGCCGGAGCCGCCATCGAACTGGTAGCGAAATGTGGAGGGACACGGCGTGCTGGGCACTTCCTGGCCAGATGAACTTGATGTGGCGGCAGTGAGGAAGATAGCAAAGCACCACAGTGAGTTCATAGCGATCTCCAGTGCGAATTTCACGAGTGTCTCTAAATGGCTGTGCTTGTGGTTGAAATGCGGAATATTTGTCTCTCTATCCAAAATGTACAACGAGCTATTCTTCCACACTTCTTTGTGGGGAGCACAGAAGCACTTGAGAAGAGGAAAAACCTGTTATCCACTTGAGACTTGCGACGCAGCTCGGCACTGCGGAGGGGCACTCAGAAAAGCATGCTCACGGCCGGAGCGACTGGAGCAGACTAATTGGGTATTTTGGGAGGAAGCGAAATCTCTTGGGTCATGCTTCTGGTGTCCACCACCTCTCCACACCTCCTGATTCGGACCGACACGCGCACGGGGAAGACCACAGTTCCGAAAGCCAAGGCGAGAGACCAACACGAGCGTGCGACGCGATCACCACGACGACTGAACACACTCGCGCTGTGACGCAGTCGTGGTGATCGCGCTGGCCAGGTAGGACAACTTTCCGGAATGCAAAAGAAGCATCTTCGCGATGTGGTGGGAGCAGCAGTGACCAGAGATGGATTGGGCTGCACTCCAAGCGGCGATCTGGTATTTCGCGCCATTTGCACTCAATCATCATCGCGCTCTTCGGCCAACGGATTCTCTCCCAGTGACAGAGTGGATGGCGATTGTGCATGAAGTTATCAAAGTTCATAGTGATCAAATGATCAGGTGTGATCGATTTAGGGGACAGTGAGTGTACTCCGAAGAGTACATTTGCATAGACAAATATTGAAGTGGATTTCTCTTTGTTCCGCTGCTTTCAAGGAACTTCCTGGACTTCCTTTGACATCATCTTTGTAATCTTTACATAAGATAATATTCCTTCTGTGTTTCACATTACTCTCAAACCGCCTGGCCTTCCCCTATGGCTAATTTGCTATGAATGCGGCGTAAAATGATTGTTTTGCCCCGCCTTCCGTAAAGCAACGCTAGCAAACTATAATTAATAAATGTCGTGCACAAATACTTACCAGAGATTCCAATACTGGAACATAAACAGATTCCAGCATAAATCCATTCTTCAGGATTTTCCACAAATGCAATTGGAAAATCTGCTCTCGCTGTTGATGAATTCACGTGGGGAAAATGCTTTCGTTCAAGGGGGGAAAAAACGTGAGTTTCCAAAGCGCTGAAATTATATTGACTGAAAACATCCAAAGACTAGACAAAAAGAGTTACGATGATCACATTTGAATACTTGTTCGGCAGCTACGTAAGTGCGAAATGTGACATTTGCCAGCTGAGGATGATGAAGAGAGGGCCCCCAAGACAGATAAGAGCGTTTGCTATTCTGAGAAATAGTTTATTCATACAGAAAATAAAATAAATAAAATCACAAAATGACTTTCTTTAGACAATTTCTGCTCAACACTCGACCAATTTGTTAAGGGAAAATCTCATTTTTCTCTCTCTCTTTCTATCGTGGAAGAGAAATGGAGGGAAGTTTCGCCACCTACAAATTCCATTGTAATTAATATTTGTGGAAGTAATTAAAATGATATTTGTCGTTCACTTAGTTATTACACAAGCGCACTCGCTGGACAAGTGGCTGTTGAGTCTTCTTGCTGGGAGGAATTGGAATGTCTTAGGCACACTCGGGGGACACTTTGAGCAGCCTCGTGCCCCCGCTGCGCGGCCCCGGCGGCGGGGAGTTGCTCCCCGTGAGGATGCTCGATTCGCGCGCGTCGATCTCGGCGCCGCTCTGGCTCTGTCGCTTCGTCCTGGGCGGCGGCACTGGCACGGACTCCACGGAGGTGAGGTGAGACGGTGCAGCAGGCGCCTTCGTGCGCTGCCACCGCATGAGGTGCTTGATCCTCTGGCCGTGATAGTGGTACAGATACACCACCGCCAGGCAGCACAGCACCAGCAGGAGCGACACGATGGCAATGAGGGCGCCAATGTACTTGGGGCCCTCGGGCAGTGGCTCGTCGGCAGCTCCTGACGGCGGGAGGCGCGTGGCCTCTGAGATCTTGGTCTTGGGCGTCGTCTTCGTGCCCGGTCGGATGGGGCGCAGCGACGGCGGCGGCGCTCCGTAGCCGATGCTGATGTCCGCGCACGCCCGGAACTGCTCCTGCGGGCCACAGCCCACGGTGCCCGTGCCGTTCTCGCACATGCCCCAGTTGTTTCCCGCCACGTAAATCCACTGAAGAAGGCAGCTCTCGCACTTCAAGTCTGCCGAGAGGGAAAAAAGCCCGCGCAATTAGTTCTGCATACTCTCAGGCGTTCAACTCTCTCAAAGCTCTTAATCTTAAGATTTATCGAGAAGCTCTGACTTAGCTTTGGATTCATAAGACTAATTCAGAGTGTTCAGAGTGTATCTGAGTGATATTCTTGACAAGAAGGAAACGTAAATTTCAGGAGACAAGGCTTGAAAAGCAAAATGACCAAAACTAAAATAACGGTGCCAAAAATCTTGGGAAGAATTTGAGAAAGAATGGCTCTTTGTCCAGCTCGCGAGGAACATGAGGAATGACAAAGTCTTCCATTCATCGCGACATAATAGGCAATTATTGGATTTGAAATATATTCACCTTCTGGCAGTCTAGCGCGGATCTCATAGACTCTGCTTCCATTCCTGGGATAGAAGCGCGTGGCGGGATCGTCGATGTTCAGCACAGCTGGCGAACCGCTGAGAATCTCCAGGACGTTCTCGTCCAGGCAGTCTTGCTTGCCGGCCGCATCGGGACACAGTCTGAACTCGAAGAAGCCCCAGTGACTGGCGGTGAGTTCGATGCGAATGAGGAAATCCGAGCCGGGATTGTAGCGTCTCACGATGACGCCCTGGCCGTACTTTCCGCCCAGCTCGTTGTCGCGCGGCTCTGGCAGATCGTAGGCATCGCCGCAGACGCCGCACTTGCCGTCGTTGCGCTGCCACTGGCGCGAGAAGCCGCCGCAGAAGAGTTCGTGGTCGTTGTAATTGGGCGGCGTGTTGAATCCGTATCGCCAGGCGGACGCTCGACTCGGCGGCTCAATCATGCGCCCATGTCCGGCGCCCAGCGTCACCAGGCCGGCGAGGACGCTGAGTGCGATGATGCCTCTGAGCATGGCCTGCAAGACAGCCCAGGAAGGGAAGGGTGTTAGTCAATTGCATTGTGTGAAGCGGAGAGTGAAATTGCGTCACACGTTGCGCCGCACTTCCTGGAGGATTTCTTTCTCTATAGTTGCGCGTCTTGAGACGCTCCCAATTTTCCCTCCTTTTTCTTCTTCTTCGGTGCCTGACCAACATAAGACTTTCTCAGCATCGCTCTGGTGGGATTCAATTGAATGGCATTGCGTGAATCTTCCCATTCATCAAAGTGAAACTCCTCTGGGTAACTTTCTCATTTTCTTCCCATCAGATTCACTTTTCTGCCCTCTTCTGACTCGCGGAAGGCTCAAGAATATTCGTCTGAGCGCACAGCAATTTGGCGTGCTATTGCGCCAATCGCTTAATTATAATCAAGAGGCACGACTCGACGATCGTGACCATCTGGGACTGTTTGGTGCCACTTTTTCGTGGCTAGACAATGAGAGATCTCGGCTCTCTGCAGACTCTGGGAGGCCTTGAGTGCTTTTCATGGGAAATTTTGGGGTGTTTTGTGAAATAATTCACTGAAATATCTCTTTCGAGATTTGCAAAAGCTTTTCCGCTGACTAATGGCGCGTTCCTTTTTCCACATATGAACAACTTCACACGATCATAAATTCCCTCTCTAGGCTAGTGAATCAATTTTGGCGTCTTGTATAACCGCACAATCGCCTGGTGTAAACATGTTATGCTCGAGGATTGAATGTCGAGAGAAGTCACATGATTTTTGGGCAGAACGAACGGAAATTTGGAAGAAATTGCGCGTCTCTTAATCGTGTTTCGCGGGTGAATTATTCATGCTTCTGGGATTGAAGATGAAAATAAGAGTGATCGCTTCGGAGCTCATTTGCATTTATTGGCTCCACTGAGCATCGTGTCTTTTCTCTCGCCGCCGCCACCGCCTGAAGATGATGGTGTTTAGGATCATTGTGTTTTTTATATAAAAATCTCATTATCTGCAGCAGCGAGGCGCTTTGCATGGGAATAGGGTTAAATGTGGAAGACAAAGAGAGTTTTCTCCAGCTTAGAAAATAACAACCCATTGCAATGAAACATATCTTTTTTCTTGGGGGGAGATGGAAATGAATTGTGAGAACTTTTCGCGCCATTCTCTGACTCACTGCGTTGCTTTTCTTGCACGCGCGCGCAAAACCAAAAAAAGCATGAGTCAGACACTTTAAATGGTGGAAAATCGTAGAGATTTCCTTCGAGTTAATGAAACCGTTAAGGTCACAGTTGTTTTTCCTTCAGCAAATTATCACTGATGAGATTCGTAATGGTAGAAAAATGTGGTTCAAAGATTGAAACTATTTTCGCTATATATATAATAAACCCTTCAAAATTTCCCCCTAAAAACGATTACAAAACATTTACTTTCCAACTTTCGACTCTTTGCTCACAAATTCATTGAACAACGACTGTCTATAATCACGATAATCACTGAACAATTTCATTGGAATCTCTTGGCGGGAAAAGCCATCGCGTTTCAACGCGAAAAGGCACTTCTTTCACAGCAAAAAACTTTCATAGGTGGTCGTGATTGATGAATATTAAAATGGCTGTTGTCTTTATAATTAGAGGGAGCAAATTATTCGCCCAATTTGCACAAAATGTCTTCATTTCAATGAAATTCAAATGAGTCTCATTTCCATTCACATCTCAGTTTAATTCGCTCCTTCTTCAGCTCTTTGTTTCATCTTCTGGCGAATGGAAAAGAAAATACAGCAAAAAAATCCCGCGAGTGCGTATCATTTGAGAACAGTTTAATTGATTGCTGAACTCACTATGAAATCAAATGGAAAATAAAATCAACATTCAACAAAGTGTTATAAATTTTCACTGATTCATCATCTCTTGCGATGCTAATCAAGTATTTCTGCACAGCCTCAAATTTTTTCCATTCACGCAACTTGTGGGAGATAAAAAGAAGAGAGAAAAAACTTTCAATTGCATACAAAATTTTCACTGCCACTTTCAGTTCCCGCGGGCATTGAAAATGGCACCTCTCATAGCTGCTGATGGACAGTGATTTAGGTGTGAACACAGTGGAATTCATTAGTAACAGAGCGCGCTGAGGTAAAAAGTGCCAAATATTTACCATATTTCCTCTTAACCGCGCGAGTCTTGAGGAAACAGCAAAAAAGACGGAATGAATTTCACTCGCAT